ACAGACCCACTTGAATGCTCTATGCAGTGGTGACAACTTGAAGTCTGTTACTCTATCGGTTTTCTAAGTATGAGTCAAAAACTAAGCGCGGTTTTACAAAAATGCACCATTTTTGCTTTTTTCCATTTCCTGAAATAATTAGGAACTTTTGAAAAACGATGTTTTATATGAAAAAAGACCCACTTGAATGCTCTATGCAGTGGTGACAACTGAAAGTCTGTCACTCTATCGGTTTTCTAAGTATGAGACAAAAACTAAGGGCGGTTTTGCAAAAATGCACCATTTTTGCCCTTTTCCATTTCCTGATATAATTAGGAACTTTTGTAAAACAATGTTTAATATGGAAATTGAGGCATTTTAATGCCCTATTCAGTACTGACAACCGAAAGTCTGCTACTCTAACGGTTCTCTCAGTATAAGCCAAATGCAAAGAGCGGTTTGAAAAAGCGGACCATTAAGCTTATCTAGATGCGCGTTTGATTCAAGACTCCTGCTATGCTGCTAATATAAGTAAACAGGATTCCGCAACATTCTAATGCATTTCCTCTCTGTTTTTTTTCCAGTACTTTGGTTCCTTGGAAGATTTTCCGCCAAGAATTAAACAGCGTGCATCCGATCAGTTCAGGGTTGGAAGCCATGGCCTTAAAATCCACCATCGATCTCACCTGTAACGATTACATATCCAATTTCGAGTTCGACGTGTTCACCAGGTAGGCAATTTCATAATATCTTATAGTTCGGTTGCTGCAACTGCAAGCGAACGAGGCTAAACGGGCATGTAAATGCGTACTTGTAGTAGGTAGGCTAACCAAAATAAGAAGAACTTTATGAATATTAATGCCACGTCAATAAACTGACTTGGGGATCCCGATGCGAAATTATGCAGCTTTTGAGCATTCATTGGCATAAATAGAATGCAATGCCAGCATGGAATATAATAGCGCTTCAATTTCCATACCTACTAAGCTTCGCTGCGTGCTAAGGTTTAGATTTGGAAAAACAACCCTTTTGCCACCCACACGATGCTCAGATTTGTATAACTTCAGTTGGCTGGGAATTTAAAAAAATGAATCATTGACACCGGAAATTCCATTCTACAGTATTTAATCATGTATTCCTTGTAATGCTCTCGCTTGTTCCCGTTTGTGTTTCTTCCATAACAAATCCGCGATTGTTTTCAACTTTCCACTCGCTTTACGCCTCCTTGAAATGTTTCAGGTTTAGCGTAAAATTTCAGTAGATGAAGCATTGACTCCGATCTATTTTGAGGGCACCGGAAATTCTAGTCAACAGCATTTCATAAATTTTAATTACGCTTCCACTTTTCGGCATCAATTAAATAGTGGCCCAAATCGCAGCCTCCGATAATGGCATTTCGCTCTCTGAGTTTATCGTCAATTATTGTTATTGTTTTAGCACCAACTGCACTTTCCAACATTGCCATTTAAGGAGTAGGCCAAGCACCGCCTTGGCACAAAATCCTAACATTTAAGCTAGGAATTAATACGAATGCAATCAACTGTGCTTTAGGTTCTCCTTGTTGGTGATTTTGCTGGTTTATCCCGCATCTATGTTGTACAACTACGCACTTTCTAAGGAAATCACACAGTTTTCCAATTTGTACGCCAATAATTTTATTTTGCCCGGATATTTCAGCATTGTCGGCTCAATATAAAAAACCGTTTATCTTCTAACCAAGATAGGCAATTTTATTTGTTCATTGTTTTTATCAACGGTTCCCAACACACCAGTTGCATAACGTATTATTATAACAACATGCTTGCCATCTCTTATCTTCCCACTGATGCGAGCCTATTGTTGCATTATAATGTTAAAAATGCCACGTTATTATCTGGGATAAATAGCAAATATTTGAAAAAAAACCTGAACAATATGCCTTGGCTTTTAGCGGTTTATGATTCATTGAACGATTTGCGGATAAGGTGTGTGTGTCTTTCTATAAGTTTTTTTTAAAGATTTTATCGAGTTATTTCCATGGTAATTTTGTCTAGATCGTTTTTGTACCAGATTTATATAGTTTCGAAACTAGCACAATTTGAGGTTGAGGTTCTTCTAGAAGTTTTTGAAAATTTT